AATGATATCTTTTGTGAATTTCTTGATGATTTTGTTAAGTATTATTTAGAAAACATTTTAATCTACTCTAAGAATACAAAAGAATATGAACTTTATGTTTTTTGTGTGTTATAAAAACTTAAAAATATAAGATTATATACAAAGATGAAAAAGTGTATATTTCGTAGTACTCAAATTGATTTCTTAGGATACATTATTTCCAACAAAGAATTAATGATGGATCCTATGAAGGTCCAGTCTATCATAGATTGAAAAGTCTAAAAAATAATAAAAAATGTATAATATTTTTTAAAATTTACTAATTATTATAAAATCTTCATAATTTTTTTTTTTTTCAAATTGCAACTCTTCTTATACATCTAACATGTTAAGACAAACTTAAGTGGACTAAAGAAGCTGAAACATTTTTTGAAGCCTTAAAGATAGCATTTTTTTTTGCACCAATTTTATATTGCGTAGATTTTTTTAAGACATTCTTCATGGAAATATACACATTAGATTTTGCTATAGATGTTGTTTTATTACAAATAAATGAAAATAATAAGCTTTATTTGGTAGCTTTTCATTCTAAGAAATTTTTAGCAGTTGAGATTAATTATAAGATCCACCACAAAGAATTTCTTGCAATTGTGGATTCATTTCAAGAATGGCATTATTATCTAGAAGGTACTTCTAGTCAAGTTATTATGTATATGGATTATAAGAACCTTGAGTACTACATGTTGGCACATGTTTTGAACCATTGTTAAATCCATTAAAGTATGTCTTTATTAAGATTTTATTTTAAGATCACCTATAGATAAAAAAAAAAAATAAGGTTTATTAGATTTCATTTCTAAACATTCTTATCTTACACCAAAAAAAAGAGCTGCAGCTTTTGATCAATAAAGAAAAAATTTCTTGAAGCCAAAGCATTTTCATCTTTGAGTAATAAAATCAATATTAACTATTGATTCAATCTTTGTCAAGAAAATTCAATCAAGCATGTCTTTTGATCCTCTTATTTTTGATATTAAGAATAATTCTTCAAATTCTCATGATATTTTCAAATTTGAGATTAACAATAATTTACTCTACTTCAAGGGATGATTATACATTCCAAAACATAAAGAAAAATTACAAATTCTTTAAGTTTGTCATGACTTTTCAACAACCAGATATTTTTGATACAACAAAACTTTAGAATTAATATCAAGAGATTTTTGGTGGCCTCAAATGTTGAAAGCAATTAAAGACTTTGTACAATCATGCAATATTTGTTGAAGTTCCAAAACTCTTTCTCATTGACCTTATGGACTTCTCCAACCATTACCTATTCTGAAACAACTATAGTTTTTTATTTCTATGAATTTTATCATAGATCTTTCAATCTCAAGTTTGTATGATTCTATATTTATGATAGTAGATTATTTTATCAAAATGGCACATATTATATTATGTACAAAATTTATCTCATGTAAAGAAATGGCTAAGTTTTTCCTTGACAACATCTATTGTTATCATGGATTGCCTAAAAATATTCTATTAAATAGGGGGACTCAATTTATATTAAGATTATGGATAATCTTTTTTTAAGATTTTAAAAGTCGATGTAAATTTCTCTTTGGCTTTTCATCCTCAAATTAATGAATAAATAGAATTGATGAATCAACTTATGGAGTAGTATTTGAGATATACCATTAATTATCACCAAGATGATTGGAGAACTCTTTTGCCATTGGCATAATTTGTGTATGATAATTTGGTACATTCTTCTACTCAACAAAAAATATTTTTTGCCATTTATGATTATCATCTATGACTTGATATTTTTGACTTTTTAAAGTTAATAATCCTATAGCAAAAGATTTGATAAATTATTTATTAGAGGTACATGCAATAATAAAGGCATAGTTAAGAGAAGCTCAAGAACACAAAAAAAATCAATGTAAATGCCTATTGCATGGACTAACTACAAATCAATGTGGGTGACAAGATATGGCTACTTTGTTGCAATATCAAAACTACTCGTCTTTTTGACAAGTTGGATTATCATAGGCTTAAAATTTTTATTTTTATTTTTAAAGAAATCAATCTTGTTGCTTATCCATTATATTTATTGGAATCTATGAAGATTCATTTCATATTCTACATGTCTCTTTTTAAATCATATAAGACAATGAATATCTCGACAAGAAGACAAATTCCACTTCTTCCTATAGAAGTAAATAATTAAAAATTTGAGGTGGAAGAAGTCTTAGATTCAAGGCAGTGCCAAAATAGATTAGAATAACTTATTCATTGGCGTGGATATGATATTAGTGAATACACATAAGAGCCAACAAAGAATCTTGTAAATGCAACAAAGAGGGTTGAGACTTTTCATCAACAATATCCATCAAAACCAAAATAAAGAATAGTAAATCTTTGCCATAAAAGAAACAAGTTCTAGGAAAGATAGCATTCTACCTTCTATTATTGTTTGTAACTTTTGTGTATTTGTGATGCAAAGAAGATGGAGAACCAACAACCAACAAATTCAACTCAAGAGCTATTACATACTGACTTATTGGATAAGACATTGCGATTGTCACAACCTTCAAGACAACATAATTGAGATGAAGATCTTCAAAAAAAACATGTCTTTCTTTCAATAGATGGCAAGATACAACATGTTTGATAACATGACCTTTGAAGACACTCCCAATGTTTAGTGATTTTATTAGAGGTAGGATTGACTTATGATGGAGTTTCAAATGTTTTATTTGAAAAGAGTTACAAAGGCCTCAACAACAATTAAATAATAGGGTGGTCTTATCACTTTTATATGGAATACTATTGATGACTGAGAGAACCTATCAACCATCTTCAAAGAGAACAAAGATTAAAGTATGTGGCAAATACAAATTATTGCATCTTGGATTTCTTCAATATATGATGACCATTCATTGTGGAACTCGTTCCTAGAAGAGAGAATAATGTTATGGATATACATATTTACTCAAATATTTATGTATATGATTAAATTGAAGTAACTATATATTGGTAGCTTGCAGAATAAGCTAATTATATAGCACACATATAAAAAATTTGCCTTACAAATTAAGATATGTATCTTCTAAAGTCAATATATTTTGGAGGTACTATAGGACATCACCATGTAGCTCCTAGTTAATAGTATATATAGAGGTAAGAGTGAAGCCTTCTCCACTCTTGTCAATGCCTTTATAGTCTTTAGTTTTATTTTAAGACTTTCTTACCTTCTTGTCTTTGGCAATAGCCATTCTAATTTAACACTAAATCAACTTTGAGTGATTTTCTAGTCTTTTTGAGTGAGACAAGAGTGTATTGATATTTTAGTTCTTTGAGATTTATGTCCTTAATGCAAGGTTGGAAAAGAAGGCTGGTTGATATTTGAACGGATTATAAGTTTCTTCTCCTATTTAATAAGTTTGATCATCTTTAAATTTATTGTGTTTGTTCTCAATTAAGAGATTAAGAAGTGTGCAAATTTTGAGTTAAGATTGACAATTGAATTATTATTTATTAAGGTTTGGTTATGATTGATTAAGATTTGATTATGATTTTTTATGAAATTTTATTAGGATTTTTTTTATAGATTTAGTAGGATTTTGTGAAGATTTAGGGTTTAATTAGGTTTCTTTTAAGATTTGATTAGGATTTGATTAAAGTATATTAAAGATTATTTAAGATTTATTTAGAATTAATTAGAGCGTGATAAGATATATCTAGAATTTTTTTAAGGTTGATAGGATATACTTAGGATAATTGGAAGCTTACTAAGGTTGTTCAAGGTTGCCAAAGGGTGTTTCTAAATTCCTTATGTATTATTTTGGATTATAGAACAAAGTTCAAGCTATGTTCAAATCCTTCCATGGTCAAATATCCAATGCATTCTCAAATTAGTTTTTACATAACACAACAGCATGCTATATATATATTAAATAATATTTTATTATACTTTAAAAATTAATGTTGTATATTTCTAACTTAGAATTCTAACTATCTTTTATAAGATTAGAGACAAATTATACACTTATTACAAATAATATAATAAAATTATTATATTATACCTTAATTTTATTAATTGGTATTTTATTTTAAAACTTGTATTGTTAATGTATCCTAGAATATGTACAAAAAAATTTAAGATACTTCTAAGATACCAAATTGGTTTTTGTTGCAAATCCTTAATAAGGCTATATCAAAAATTTAATTTGAATAATAGAATATCTTGTAATATTCTTTATTCAAATTATGTCAATAATATAGAATTATTATATTTGGCTACAAAGTAGGTAAGAGATATCAACAAAATAAAAGTTCTTTTTATTCTTCTATGAAAATGTGGCATATGCATTTGTACCACCATGAAACTATCTATATGTGCAATGGTTCATTCCAAAAATTAAAACAAAGAAGAAAATTGGTGTTTTTTAAAAATTTAAAATTTTGATAATTTTATTGGTATTAATATATTGATATTGATATATTAATACCAATAACTCATTCAAATATTTTAGGTCTTTTAAAATTTATCTTATTGTAACATACAAAACTGGAGAGTTGCATGTAATTACTTACCAAATACAAAGATCAATAGAGTTTTTATATGACAAAGATCAATAGAGTTTTTGTATGACATTTAGTTAAGTTTCAAAAAGAGCTGGCTTTCTTAGAAAATTATAATGTAACTGTAGCGCAATAAAAGAGTAGTTTGATACTTTTAAGATTCACAAAATACTCATTGAAATTATAAAAATAAAGTCGTTCCCTTGTATGTTGAAAACATTGATTTTTTCAAGTCAAGTTATTATCAATCAAATTTTCATACAAAAATATGGTGTCATAACTGTCCGGTAACCAAAGACCTCGAATTCTCAATACACGCTTTTTCAAATTTTGACCTAAAGATCAGATTACATCAAGATAGAAGTTTGATTTCATCTCACCTAAAGCCAACATTTAAGTAATAACATGACAAAAAAACACCGCGAGAATCATACAGTTGACGTTCTCTTCATCACAAAAAATAGTGAATAGAGCTCCTGATGCTTGTGCTGAGGTACATTTGAATTCCCATCACCTTGTCAGCATTCAATAAGGTTGGGTGATTCCTACGAGCTAGGAATTGCTGTAGCGAACTTCGGTATACTGATGCCTATTGGCTGTGCTGAAGTCAATATGTAAGAAAGCTTCGGCTGTGTACTGGACCACAAAAACAGGCCATAAAAAGCCAGATCAATCGCCTTACTCTAGTTGGGTTATCTGCCTACAGCCCCGTGCCCAAAGAAGAGTTTATGTGGTCCACACGTCTAATCCTGTAATCCCTTCTTTTGCAGCAATCGACAGGTAGACATCACAGAAAACACTTTATCATGATTCAAAATTCTGCGTCTAAATTGTAAAAGCAACCAGTGCAGCCTTTCGCGTATAAAACCTAGAGTTTCAAATGCGAAGCATTAATTGCAGGTTTGTCAGGCTTATCAGGCTTATTGCCCTTCTCTTTGGCAACATCAAGTGCAGCAAACACCTGTGTACAAAACAAAAGACAGAATTAATACAAACCTACCTGCACTCATTGTTGGAAATTAAATCATCGTAATAATCTGCAAACTACACTGTTTCATTCTAGAAAACAAGTAAATGTGAATCAAGATATTTCAGTCTTACATAAGCTTTTACAGCACACCCAGCAAAACAGCAGTGGTGTGAAACATTACACACCTTGGCAGATTTTGAGAAAGATGATGTCCGTTTCTCTGGAACGGGTGTTGACTTAATAATTAACTCCTTCAGCGGGTCCTTTGCTAGACCATTAATGGTACGGACTCTCTTTGAGTTTTCTTCTGCCTTCTTGGCTCCTGCAAAGGCAATCATAAACAGGTTACTACATGCTTATGACATAGAGATCCACAATAGCTGGAAAGTGCGGAGACAAACCATAAAATAATGCCAATGGAATTTCGCGTAAAAATGACAGTGTTAAATGACATCCGTAATGAATAAGAAGAAAACCCATCAGAGAAGGCACAAATGCATCTCAGGAAGTTCAGAAAGTTCGGGGGTTACAAATGACACCTTTTCTCTTCCTTTTCTTCTGAGCTCTGCGTCTCTTTCTCTCCTCTGGAGTCAGTTCACTCTCTCCCTTGATAATGCCTTCACCCTTGTAAACCTCCTCTGGGGCCAGCATGGATGCGTCTGAAATTGCAAGCGGCGCAACCTATTCGTACAGAAAAACAGCATATATTAGCAGTCCTAGCCATAAGCAAAGGTTGGACCAAAAAGATGAATTATACAATTGATCAATTAACTGCATACCCCACGATAATTCATAAGATTTGTGTTGTGGTTCGAGCATGACTATACTGAAACCTTAATAGAAATAAAACAAGGATTTACATTACAGAAAGAAAAGTGTGGAAAAACCGAGCGTACCTCTTCCATAGCAAGCGCTGGTACATCAACCTTCACTTCCATTTCTTCTATTTTCTGCATCAACAACAATGCCTTTTAGTCTCTACGCAACTCCAGGGGAAGATAAGATAAATAGCTCTTTTCTTTTAGAAGATAACTGTAACTAATTTATGGTGCTAATTTTGAACTAAGAAACGGATGGAAACTTAAAAGTAATTGAATTCATTTCCAAACATAAGAATTTTCTGAACCATAATGGATGTTCTCAGGATAGGCTATTTATCATAAGACACATAAAATGAGACAGTGTTAGGCTGTGAAACTGCGAGGCAAAATTTCAACTCCACATGGTATACAACTACTTACTGGTTTGGGTGCAAAGTGGAAATGTGAGAGAGCATCAAGCCTGTTGCATAAGCCCCTAAACAAAGCTGAAGCCTGCACTCACATCCATATATTTTTTATTAAATCAAGCATACACAATAGAGCAGGTTAGAATCAGAGCAAGAGATTGCGGAATTGCATAAGCTTTATGAGCATAAAACCTGAACTATCGGATAGAGCAAAAGTGCACCATACCTCAGCTTTCAAAGCCTCCATGGCAGGCGTAGCAGCAGCTGCTAGTCCGGTGTTTTCCATGTACTCTTGCTGCACATACAAACAGAAAAGTACAGGTAAGAGAAACAGCAATATGCACACTCCATTTAAACAGATAGATTATTGCATAATTCAACTTTTAGATTGATCAATCTCATAATCTTAGAAGTCATAACGTTGCCTAAGCAGCAATATCGAGTAAAAGCCCCCAAACCTACTAGTGGCTCCTGAAAAAATCAGAAAAGAGCAAAGAAGGCTGTACCTCATAAATTTCTCCCAGTCCCTTTTTACTCTTTTCTTCATCCTGCACAATTAGAAAGAAAGATTGAATGAGGTAACCATTAGTTTACATCTAAAAAGACCAAAGAGCTGATTTCAGCTGACCCACATGATCCTCCTGCCTCTATCTATATACGCTTGTTCATTCAGGGAGCACAAGTCACTAGACAAGTTAAATGTTGAAACTAGAAGAGAAAAATCAAAGCAGGTAGTTCCGCTGAAAAGTACCATTTCCATGCGTTCTTTGGGAGCAGCTGTAACTGGTGGAGCTCTAGGTTGCGGATCATCAAAGGTGCCCTGAAAACACAATGTTTTAGAAAGCATATACGACTAAGTGGAATGAAAGTTGACCATGACAATAAGTTGAACATAGAAGCTAACACACGTGTTAGGAGGTATCTGCATCGAAATCTAAACTCTGCGTTGAACTAACCATGAATAACCTAAGGAAAACATAAAATTACACGACACGTAAAACACAAAAAAGAACACACACACACACCAATTCTACATTATTTGGTTGACAGCTAAAGGGAATTCGAGCTAAATATTTATAAAAAAAAAAAAAAAAAAAAAAAAAAAAAAAAGTTTTAGATATAAATCATCAACGGTGTCTTCAAAAACTTATTCACAGAGAGTACCAAGAGAAGATAGATTTTATCAACAAATTTTTGCTAACCTCAATAATCCGGCTCCGAATCATATCCTCTAGTGATTGTGTTACTTCTTCCGTAATAACTGGAGCTGGACGAGCACCATGCTCGAAGTCCAGCTCAACTTCCAAAGCACTGTTTTTTGATCTTCTAGAAGCTGACACCTGGTAGGATAGTGATAACAAGCATCTGAGAGAGAAGGACCAAGAGAATCCTAATCTAGAAACAAAACCTACGTACGAACATATCAGAAAATACTGTAATTCAAAGGCTAAACAACACTGTAGGATATCATGTTATTCACATACGTGCAACACCATCAAAGATTTTCAAGATGGATGGTAAAATTTCTTAAGAAACTTATCACCCAGAACTGTGCAAAACTCCAGTCAAACAAACCACGAGTACACTAGGCCTTCGAGAACATAAGTTCAAAAAAAAGAGTCCTAAGAAAACCCATACATACAAGTCGTGCGGCCATTACCTCGCCTTGCATAGTCCAATCTTTTGACTCTAAATTTGATTTCTCCAGCTGCTCGATTCGTCTCTTCGTCTTCTCCTGTTGTCTTTCGTGAGCGGAAAGCTTTCCCTCCTGGATACCACCGCCCATCCACGTGTCACATCAGAAAACGATTGTCCCTTTGATCAACACCAATGCAATGCGAGACTGAAATATTCCAACATATAAGATTGTAGAATTTTAAATCATTTATAAACACCAACTGCATGCAAAAGCAAAGGGTAGACTTTAAAGACATGGTGAGCATCACTGATTCGTTTTTCATTAAAACATTAAAATCGAACCTCCGCTGGTACGATCTGTCTATCAGTGACCATAGCCTCTGGTCCCTCGTCATCCTCGTCTTCATCATCATCTTCAAGGTCATCATCCCCAGGTTCATCGTCGCTATCTTGTCTTTTCGAGGGTTTAGGTTTCTGCTTCTTGCCTTTTCCAATAAAATCCGAATATCTGAGTAAGAAAGACGATGTCACATAATCTAGTAAGATCCTGTTCCCGAAATTCAAAGATGTTTTTCGCTACAAAACTCATCTTGATCTTGAAAAGATCTTGAAATTGAAATACACTTCTAAAAGCAGAATTTGCGTATACAACGTTCTCAAACCAGAATGATGGGCTTCCAACTGTAAAACAGCAGAAAGAGAAGCCAAACATACTTAGGTCCCCATGTGTTATCACCATCGTCTTTATCTGCTAATCTTGCGGAGAAGTCAAAAGCTTCATCCATCTGCACAATCAGAGATAGGATCAATTGGTGTAACAAAAAAGTTTGAAATAACTGGAATTCGGGGCAAAATATGACCGTCTACATGAATAGAAAGGCGTACCTCCAAATCGTCGTCATCATCCTCTTCTTCATCTTCGCCATCATCCTCATCATCTTGACTGCCATCTTCAGTAATGCCAGCATCCTCTGCATCCGCCCGATCTAAGAACTTCTCCATATCTGTTAATTTCAGAAACTTGTCTTCTACCGCTTTCTTCTCTTCTGCAAAATGATAATCAAGAAAGATTGAAAGTAAGTTTCAGCGTTGTGAAAAGCAAAATAATTTTGGCAACGTACTTGTATTTAACCAAATTAAGGAAACTTAAGTGAGTGTAAGAAAGTACTGAACCTTCATCGTAATCAGAGTATTCCTCCTCTGATTTAGAACCATCTTCCACTTCATCTTCGTTGCCTGAATCATCCCCATCTTCTTTATCATCATCTGAGCCTGAGATTTCTTCATCGTCAAGATCCTCGCTGTCTGAGTCCTCATCGGACTCCAATTCCTGGCTTTTCTCTGAAATCAAAAAGAAAATGAAGCAACGACAAGAAACGATAAGAGCCATGCTGACACTTCCCACATATTTGAAAACTGTTCGCGAACAAATTTCAAGGCTCGCGAGTTTAAAGAATAATAGACCCTACATCCAACCGATACTCTTCATACTAAAATCTTTACAGTCGAATGCTCTCCGGTTCTACAACCATCATTCAATTGTTCACTGGATTCAATTCCAGAGGTTTCGGTCAGAAATTAGTACGGTCGCAGCCAATGCAAGGTCCTACACACGACCCAGCGAAGACCTCCAATACTCCAAAAGCTCTAACTTCTACTACTAGGCGCTCCAGTAAGTAGCATTACCCTTCAATGCTTCCGTATCCAAAATAATACAAAAAAATTGAAGCACTGAACATGTCGACTCAAGACAAGAAGGCTGGCAGTTCAAACACAATAATTACCTTTCGCCGAACCTCGCTGCGTAGATTTCTTCTCGCCCTTAAACTGAAACAGTTTATTCGGGGGCGTTTTCTCCAACTTCCGGAGAGACTTCCTAATCTTATTCAGAGTTGGCGTAGCTTGCAGGTCAATCTGCTGCCATATCTGCTCAGCATCGAAATTCACCGTGAGCAATTTCTCGAGTGGCGATTCTGTGTTCACTGCCAACGCCGAGAACAAGTACTCTGACGCCGCTCTCGTGCACTGAACAAGGTCCGAAGTAGCGGCAAGCCATGCTTTGGGATCTGCTTTCACCACCACCTCCAAGCTCTTCGCCCCCGTCGCAGGCACTGCTTCTTTCACCATCATTTTCTTACTCGTCCCCATAGCTACACAGATCAATGCCGCAAAACTCTACAGACACACACAACGGCCATCGCCAATCCCTCGTTCATCAGCTGATGGCTTTGGGGATGCAGGAATAAGCCCTACAACTCTGCGCCCTGAATCAAGCTATTTGCGGTCAAAGGGCTGAATCCTTAAACCCTAGACCCGGACACCAAACCTCCGGTGAAACCACGGTCATGGAAACCACGGAATAACACACGGTACATGCTTCTAATAGGGTATTGGATTGAGCGAAGGGTGAGATGGTTTTCTCTAGCATCTACAGGAAGCAGGGTTTAGGGTTCAAGGGTTTTCGATGAGGTTTAGAATTTTGGCCTGGAAAATTGTGGAGATTGCAGGGACCATCCTCCTGCTGAAAATTTCTCGGATGCTTTTTGCAGGTCGGGAGATCATTTCTTGGGGTATTTTGGCGAGAGGAGCGTAGAATTTCAGTTGGAACCGCCATTCTTCTGTTGTGTTGCACCGAATTCTAGGCGTATTGTGGGTAAGCTGTGATCGGCCAGTCAGGTGAAAGGCTGCTGTTAGTTGGAGTCACATTTTGTAGTTGATGGCTTGCGAAGTGATGTGGAATTCTTCGGGAGCAATGTGGTGATTGTTGCGCTTCATCCTGGTCTTTATGAGGATTGCAAAATCAATTCTATCAGGAATAGAAGCTTTTTGGATGGAATCCACCTGATCGTAGTGATTGATTAGTTGCCACTGCGCTGTCATGTCATCAACACATTTGCTTTCTTCAGAATCGAGGATCTCAGTATGGAGTCTTCTTCCGCGAGGACATACTACAGTGAAGGCCTTGAGAGAGATTGGGGTTTTGGACGATAAAGTCGAGCAGATGCTTAAATTCTTAAAACACGATTTCTCAACGTAGTTTTTGTGGACCTTCATTGTCACTTTTCAAGAAATGCAATTTTCCCTCACTTTTGCGGACAGTAGATAGAAATTTGCACACTAGTCACGAATGGAAGCAAGATTCCGAAATTCGCAGATTGTGGCATCACGGCTTAGGCAACCGTCAACTCATTTTCCAATCTTAAGAGTCGATCAAACACACCAATATGATGCGAAAGCTAAGAACTGAATTTTTTATAGAATGACAAATCAAAATGTTTCTCAACACCACCGAAATACCTGTACTGAAATCTCTGTACTCTTTAATCAATGTACACAATCATTAAGTACTGATTGGTTAGTGTAACAACTGATAGCAAACAATTTCCGATAGTCCAATTCCAAATCTATGGGGTATTTTTACAAGCGCGAGTTATAGTATATCTACTCTAATTCTAATAGTAAACTGGAGCTAGCTCTGCAGCAGTTCGTTTTCGGCTTAACGTCGAAGATTTGTGGTTGGCAGCCTGCAGAGAGGTTGTTTTGAAGAAACTGAGGGCAAAAAGAACGTCATCTTCTGTGATTTGGTAGTGGGTCAACACCCGTATCCTGGTTTAATCACCATTTCCACCAACATGTGAGTCTCAATCGCTGACTTGCATAGATTCTAACATGAAGGTCGCACTAACATGCCTCTTCACTTCACTGCCTTAATTCTGTGACGGTTAACGAAACAGCAGCGGGATAATATGATGTCAACCAAGTCATGAACATATCTGCAGGCTCACAGTTGAACATGTACAGATGTACGCATGGTTACTTACATGTTCCGACCCCAGGTCATTGCAAGCACTCCATACTCCTTCCAGGCTTCAACAATCTCTTTTGGAGTGAGTACAGAGTCATCCGTCACCTCCGCATACACCTGCCGACTTATTACAGATCAGTTACAAAGCACTTATCCAAGGTTGTGGGAATTTCTGTTCAGACTACTTTCGAAGATATCAAAGGCGGTCAGTTCTTGACTAAGCAGTATGTAAGGCAAGCAGCTGCATGGCAAGGCAGAATATAAGGCAAGAAAAACGCTTTCAACTCATTCAACTCACAATGTTGGTCTCTACAATCGACATGTCCACACGAAGTCCTTTCACGGCATTCAATCCCTCTGCATCCACAACGATATATTAAAAGTTCTCCTTGAAATCTGTGCCAAACTAGTCCTTGATGACTAAATACTTCGTCAAGGTTACACAAACATGAGCTACTCATTCAAGAAAAACGCTTTCAACTCATTCAACGTTATTTGAAGTTACCTGCCATCAGTTTTGCGTTGGCATGATCAACATTGAGACGATCAACCATGTCACGCATGGCAACCAATCCTGCAGCAGCCAAAATACCAACCTGCCGCATACCTCCCCCTAAAGCTTTCCTCAATCTCCTTGCCTGTGCCCTCGATACACCCAAATAGAGTCAACACAAGATTTTAATTTTTAAGTATTTCTCAGTATAAAATCCCAAAAGAAACTTGCATATGCACTAATTCTCTAGGTTAACGAGCCTAGAAATGCAACACACTTATATAAAATAGGATATTACCTTTGTGATGAACTCCTTAGAGCCAACCAATACTGTGCCCACCGGCGTTGCCAAGCCTTTTGAAAGACACACCTACAAAAAAACGATTAACAATAAGAAGACTGCCCATTTTCACAGTCAAATACAGAAGCTTCGTCAGATCATGTAAAAGTCTACACACATATCCCATAGTAAGGCGATCACACATCATAGTTCCAGACACATGCAGACCGAATTGGTTGAGATCTCACTGTGCACAACTTGAATCATTTGATTCATGAGTTGGACATGAAACTTACCGAAACACTGTCGGCAGCTCGCACCAACCTTTCAGGTGTAACCCCCAGTGCCTGCATAGCAATATGGTCCTGAGCGTTCGTGATAACTGTAGTGGTAAAGGTTTTGCCATAAGTCGAAAGAATGCATAAGACATAGAGAGTGCTTGATCCATTCTATTTCCCTTCAACAAAAGAAACTTGAACTATACTGCACAATTAAGATGTTAACTAAACCAATATCGATTAAAGATCCTATAAATAAAATTTTAAAATCTATTTTAAAAAAGTGACATGAAGCTCTTACGATGGAAGCATTGAATATGCGGGCACCATCAATATGCAATTTCAGCCCGTATGATTTGGCAAGCTCCCCGAACTTGTCTGTATATTCAGCTGAGAGACACCTCCCTCCGCATCTGTAAAAGGTAACACATAACACTCCTCATTAGTTTACAATTGTCTCGATTTTAGGTGAGAAAATGACTTGACATAGTATGATTGACGTCCTAGGAAAATGAGATCTCCAATGCACCCTGTTATGTACAAAGGATACCAGCATATTCAGCAGATGTTAGCTTTTCAGCATCAACCAGAGGCGATGTAGTTGGACAAAACTGTTTTCTTGTCTTCAACTGATATTACACGACGAGGCACCAATTGCCACAGCCAAATGAGTTTTTCCTATTGCATTGGACCTCACAGAATAAAGTAAAGCCAATTGACGCACCTGGCCTGAGTATTCTCAAGACAAATTAGGCGGGTGATCGGAAAGTGGTCATCAAGCTCATATCGTATAGCGGCTTCCACTTTCTTAAGATCAAATGTTCCATCTGCATTGTTCGGAACAGTCCTCGGATGCACACCGCCGAGTGTTGAAATCCCACCTTGCTCATAGTGCATAATGTGGCTCTCCTCCCCAATTATAACTTCACTTCCTCTCACCTGAAGTCTCCAAGTCAAACACAATATTATAACATTGCTGAATGAGACGCATGCAGCATAACGATGTAATATTACTTTGAATCAAGAACTGAGTTTGCTTGAGCTGGTTAAACGTTAAACGACACTACATGGCAAAAGACAAGACAACTACAAAGGACACCAAAGAAAGTTGAATACGTACCTCGCAGTGCACAAGAACAGCAATTAAATTGCCCATGGTTCCAGAGGGTACGAATAAACCGGCTTCCTTCCCCATAACTGTTGCAACTTGTTTTTGTAGTTCATTCATTGTTGGATCAACTCCAAGAATATCGTCGTCTACCTCCGCATTAGCCATAGCGGCTCGCATTGCAGCCGTTGGCTTCGTCACAGTATCTGATCGAAAATCTACAACGCGACGAGCCCCATTCGAAATACTATCTCCAAGGGATCCCATTCACACCAGACTTATTTACGTACCCTTGGGATACTTGTGGAAATTATGAGATATATGTGCCTGGTAACAACATGCAACGCGTCGGGAGCATACTAATGAGTACGCTGGCGAATGAAGAAAGCTACAGCGACAAGATACTAAAAATCATCCCCGCCACATCTCACGTGTAAGTTTTTGCTACACGAAAACAAATCCACACACAGCCAGCAAGAAGAAAAAACGGAAACATAGCGACAGTGTGCCACTCTTAGAAACAAGAATCTTAAGGTTTGCAATGTAATCCACATAGTTGATCACTGCAACAACCTTCAGGTATCACACGTGATTAGAAAAAGAAATTCGTTCAAATCAACTTTGCTGGATGCGCAAACCATTCGTATGCATCATTCCTGACGCATACCAGTTAGGTGTTCTATACCAAGAAAACCCCAACTTGATACTCTGAAAGATCCGTACAGCAGAAGCAGAAAGGCTTTGAAACCAATTGCGTTCGAGTTCTTGGTTTACAACCCAGTCGCAAGGCTTCCACGACCTTAAAAAATGACATTACATGCAGTCGCTCAACAAATTACACACGCTTCGAAAGTTGGAATGGTTTAACGAAGTACTTTAGTAGGAGTTACGACGGAAACATCACATGCACCACGTACCTGTAGGATACGCCTTGCTCGGATCGCCTCTCGTAACACAGAACCTTGGAAAAGAAATGAATAAATTGAAAGGTAGCGGTGTAAACAGAGCGATGACAGGGCACTTCTCGGTGCTGAAACCTTAAACCGACTGCATGTTTAAACCTGCATGCTCGAGGACACACCATATGGTTGACGTCACGCTTTTCTGCCCGATTGACCTTCAATTTTATCCCGCAAAGTAGCAATAACAAAAAGCATCCAAGCCCTGGCTTATGCCGAAGACTTTACAAATCCGTCACGCAGAAGCCCCATGAATGTATCCAACACTAAAGCTACAGAAACGAGAAGTCGAAGAACGCTACGAATGCATTAACAACCACTACAACATACTCGCGATCTCGAGATTCCAACTCAATCGATGCATCTCACAAACTCTCCTAAGCGTCGAAACCTCCCCCCCCCCCACACTCAACCAACTACACCTACACCTACCACCACTCCCACCACAAATTAAGTTAGTCCACGGCGCTAGACAAATCCACCAACATGCTAATGCCAGCAAACACTACATTAAACGGTCATTCTGGTTCTAACACGGCAAAACGAACAAACAGCTATCTCCACACCAACCCACGCAAATTTCAACCACCAAAACCTCCAATTCACATGCAGCATTCGCAGACCCTCGACGCAAACAGTTGCTGCAGCAGCAGCATAGGCATAGAAAATGACTTGCAATTTAACCTCAAGAAAAGACGACGGTCAAAAGCTACCGCTACGATCGACAGCTCGCGGAATTCTGTGACCCCACCCCCCCCCCCCCTTTCAAACCCACACATATATATGTATATATATATATATATACATATACATATATTAATAAACCCGAGAGAGCTATCTCCGCTTGCTTACTGCTAATGCTCATCAATCAAGAAGAGCGGGGAGTGGATTTCCACGAAGAATTGATCGAGAGAAGGTGACGTTGGCGCGCTGGTTGCCAATGCTGCAAGAGGGGAGTGGGGGTGAACGAGAGAGAGAGAGAGGCAACTGATTGATGGCGATGGACGGAGGAGAAGGATTCTTAGAAGGGAAAAGGCAGCTTTGAGAGGGGGGGAACATGGGAAGGATGAAAGCCAAAGCAGCCAAAGGCAGCTTTCGAAGGTGGAGGTTCAGCGCCGCCGGCGGGACAGTGATGGCCCGGGTGGGGACGCTGATGTGGACCTGCCCTGGTTCCCATGTGGTGCCCTGTCACGCCTTATGTGGCCTCCTGCTCCCGCTTCTTTATTTAATTTAATTTATTATTATGCCTGCCTATCAATTAGCCCCCTATGCTTCCTTCTCTTCCTTCTTTCCTTCCTTTACTTGACAACCGTCGCCATCGCCATCGCCATCTCTTTCCTACTCCTTCTCCTTCTCCCTCTTCATGACATTGCAGTCTTATCATCCCATTGCGTCTCCACTTGCTCTTCTGTGCCCTTCGTTGCTTTTGATGCAGGAGTCAGTGCGGGACATGGTTGAGGAGGATGACTAGGAGGTGGAGTGATTTCTACTTGCCTTCGCTGTTGTTCCAGGTCTGGCCGCTGTGCGCTTCCGTGAGTGGCCTCGATCACGTCTGCTGTGTGTGTGATGACGTGGCCGCGATGCGTTTGCATTCCTGGTTTCCCCCGGTATTGAAATGCAAAGCTCATGGCTCGCATGTGGCATTAGGAAGACGAGCTTGGCTTCATATCGTGTTGCCTGTGGTGACGTCGTCGTCTTCCATGTGTTTGCTGCTGTTTGTTTAAAGTAACTGACCTTAGGTCTGATAGTAAATGTCCACGTTGTCTCTTTGCTTGTGTCGCCAAGCCTGTGGAGTAATTGCTGACTGGCGCTAATCATCGTCATACTCATATCTTTTTTATATTGAATGGAACATTTCAAAAATAAAATTCAAAATAAATATAATATTTTGATAAGTAAAATAGATTTTAATATTTTGTAAACTTAATTGAAAGAATAACAATGATTCCACAAAAGCTAGTAGGAATTTCAATGTTTGTTTATCTATTATATTTCTTTGACAAAAAAAATTATATATATATATATATATATATATATATATATATTATAAATATATATATATATATTATAAATATATCCTTGAAATATGTTGAAGTATCAAAAATACTCTTATATTCTTGATAATAGCAAATCTATCCCTCATTTTTTGATAATATCAAATCTATCCTTCAATCTAATAAGGTATCATAACTATTCTTTTCTAAATGCGATCGGGGCCCAACTTGCATGATGCATAGAATTTAAGGAGCCTTTTTTGGCACTTCTTGGCACATGGAATTGTTGTTGGGCAGCACTAGCCATGTCAAGCTTACTTCCCAAAATTTAGTGAATTCCATCATGGTATTAAGATTGATTCAATGAATCATTTGATCATTTGTATTGCATGATTGTAGCTTGGTTGTTAGTTTGTAGGCTGCAAAGTGAAAGCTATAAATAAGTATTAACAATAATCTATATTATTTTGTAATTTTTATTGTATGCATGTTGAGGTAAATGCAATTCAACCATTATTTATTTTAGATTAAGACAAATGTTATATAGGGCGGTTTAAAAGAACAAGTTATCAATGCAACTAGCATATGAGTAACTCAATGAACTTGATGCAAATGCAGAGAGCGTTAAGTCCGCAATTGAAAGAAATTGGTCTATACTTACTCTTTAGGTAATCCATTCATGATGCTATAATGGAATTGGATTCTAAAATTCAAATTGACAAGAGCAAAAATGATTAGTAAACTTTGCAATGTTTTGGTGTATTTATTTGTACTTTGTAGGTGAAAAAAGCCAATTATAGAATTTTGTGAGTTGTGTTTATGGCTTGGAGCTTAGAAACAAAATTTCACAAGCAAAAAAAAAAAAAAAAAAAAAAAAAAGATGGAAGGGAGGGTTTTAAAGAAAGCATCTTTATATTCCATAAAAAATGTTTTGTCAAGTGCCTTCAAATGTTGGGATTCATGTGCAAAAGTAGGCAAAAAATGACATGTTTCAAATCATATGCCTATAAGTTTCTTCAACATTAAAAGCTATGTTTAATTTAATGAGTTTTCTTGAACAATCAAGTTAACATTCTTAATTATCATGGTAAATATGCACTTTATCAAATGATTTTTTTGTAATGACACACTAGTTATAAGAAAGCGTGGAGAGTTTTGATTGCAAAGATACTTAGCAAGGATAAAGAATATAAATATGTCTACTTTTTCCTATCTATTAAAAAGTGCCAAAAAGTACACAAGTTGTTGGGCCTTCAAAAGGTTTGCATTTTTTCTTCTCAAGATATCAATTTGGTCTTCTTGAATGCATCTACCTATCTTAGATGAAGTCATTCATTTACCAAAAATGGCTACATCATAGTCTACGCAATATAAAGAGGCATATTATGCCAAAAAGTGCCAAAGAAGGTCCATTAAATTCTCCATGGCATGCAAGTTGGACCTTAGTTGCAGTTAAAAAGAAATAGTTGTAATACCTTATTAGGTTGAAGGATAGATTTGCTATTACCAAGAATACATGCATATTCTTGATAATTCAACATATTTTAAGGATATATATGATATTTTTCTTTGTTTTAAGTATATCAATTTTTTAATATATATATATATATATATATATATATATATATATTCCAAAATAAAACTTATTAAGTTTTAAATTTTAAATTTATTTTTTCTTATTGTAACTTGAATTAAATCTAAAGCTTTATAAGCATAGTTAAGAAATAATATCTTTATTGATATAATAGTTGTTTAAAGACAAATATACTCTACTTTTGATAATTTAATTTATTATTAAAAAAAATCTAAATAAATTATTAAATTTTTTATATTCATGTATAAATTTATAAAAAAGAGAAAAATTATAAATATAATTATTTACTTGATAAAAAGATATTGTAGTAACAATTGCTAAGTATAAAAAAATTAAAACTTGAGTCTTATGAGTCAAATATCCAAGTTATAAGATACTTTTAGATTGCCTTCTTACTAGTGAAAATTTTCTTAAAGAAGTTGCTACAACCATGTAATGCAACTAAAGACAATTATATATTTAATTTGCATTCAAGAAATTAGTTTTTCAATTAATTAAAGAAAATCATATTAACATAATCTATTTATTTATTTATTTATTCATTTCTATTTACTAATTTATTCAATTTATTCAAATACTAAATTTATAAAAATTATAAATTTAAAATAAGTTACTATATTAATAAAGGTAATTTTTTTTTTAACCTTTTTGAGTCTTTAAAAGAAATTACATTTATTATCATTAGTAGCTTAAATTGTAATTGTTGTGCATTATCCCTATCAACTCTCTAACTTGATGCCCATGTTAATGTGAGCCATTTAGATCAATATCATGTTAATGTGAGCCATTTAGATCAATATCATGTTAATGTGAGCCATTTAGATCAATATGATAGAATCATGCTTTTTATTAACTCTTATTTTTGAAAAGACATTTGATGCCTTATTTTTCATTAACTCTTATTTTTGTAAAGACATTGAGGGATATTTGAAGATAATTCAGCTTATTAGAGTGCTTTATTGAATGGTGTAATACAGATATATTTCAAAAACAAACTAATTCGAAAAATTCATGAAATAAACTCTGAAATCGTGTTACTTAGATTACGTCAATGTAGCGGGTGCTGATGTGCTTTGTTCACCTTTTTGCATCAGAACTGATTCGGTTCTGCGAGACTGGATTTCTGCACAAGTTTTATTCGTGTGAGATCGCGGCATCCCCCGTGGGCGTAGCGTGCAGTGAAGGTCTCTGTCCTTTTTTCACTTCTCTTACGTCTTTGTTTAAAACCATATGATGCAACCGAACTTAGCTCAGGTTGTGTTTGAACACCAATCTATTGTAGAGGGTTTGTGATGAACCTTTGAAGCTTTGGCATTTTGATTTGCACTGCTTCGGAAACTTACGCGGCCTCTTGAAGTATTGCCGATGACTTGATTGCAATTTAGTTTAGTTTCCTAGTAAAGCTCAAACGAGACTTACGTTAGCTCATTATAGTGATTTGACAATGTTGATTGATATTTGTTTGTCTTTTATTTCTGTTTAATTATTTATTATTTTTGTAATCGTCCAGAGATTTGTAAAGAAGTCTCAAATTTTTTTTGCAACGCTTGACATTCACAGTGCTTCAAGCAACTCGAAGTAAGTAATTATTAACATAATTTTTCTATTCTGCTTTTATGAGGAAGTCTGTTTTTGATGCGGTTGTATTCGTTAATTTGCAAAAGAGTAGTACGTGGAGTATTGAAGTAAGCCATCCGATTCACATGGTCAGTTTTCGTCCAACAGTGAGTGTTGAAGATTTGTACTGCCTTAACGCGTGCTGAATTTGTTTGTTTGTGATTCTTTTTCGTTTCCTGGAGATGCCGTCTAGTGTGGCGTGTTACAAACACCTCAACACATGTTTAATCATGTTAGACAAGAAAGGTACCGATACAGCACTCGCAGGTTTTTATTTCATCTGCATATCAAATATTGAATCAATCAAATATTGGATTGACTCTAAAGTATCACATTGTCCTATATTTTTTTCAACCTAATGCTTTGAAAATAGTTTAAAATTTTGGAAGAGTCAAGAATTATGGCTTAGAATCTAGATAGAAGGTCATAGAATTTATTCTTGAGTTTAATTCCTAGCTTCTCCAATCGCATCAATAAATCTCCAACTTATTTTAATACGTATTACTTTTTCACCCATTTCTTTTTTATACTTTCAAATTTTATATTTTGATTACTCTATTTATATCATAAAATCTTTTTCAACTTATCATGTATTAAGTTCTAGGTACACTACAATTGTCAATACAAGTAGTTGCAAGGTGGTGTTAATTTGTATTTTTGTCAATAATAATCTTTTTGTAGTTATAAAGTGTTTTGAATTTGTTGTTGTGATTAGTACAAATTTTCTTCTTTCTTTTTTGTAATTGCTAGCACTTATAATTGTAAGAGGTTGTAAGATGTGATTTAGAATAATACAAAACCTCTTTACAATTTAGAAAAAAAAGAAGGTGTTTTAAGTTGATAATTATGTGAATACGAAATCTCTCTACAATAGTTAATACAATTGAAATATAAAGATATTTTATATTTATCTATATCTCAAGTTAAAATCTCTTTATGATTGTTAAAACAAGAAATTGAAAAGGTTTTATACTATACTAATTTCCTATTTAATTTCTACCCTTTTTTCTTTTCATATTTATCAAAGTAAGCAATTGATTTTTTTTTTATTATTCTAAATTACAAATTGAAACCTTCTTTTGCTAATAATTTTTTTAATGTTTAGAGCTTATTATATAAAGTATTGAAAAAAATTCATTATGAAATTAGAAGAATTAATATATATATATATATATATATATATAATCTTAATATAAATAAATAGTTAAAAAATAATATTTATAAAGATGAATCAATAGTATATTGATATGGTGCAAGAAATTAGGAATTGAATGTAAGAATATCTTTTATAGTTTTTTGATTATTCTAAGTTCTAAACCATAAGGCTTAACTACCTTCAAAATATTAGATTGAATGTTTTTGAAATAACCTATTATTTTGAAAGCAATCCAATATTTTCTTGCTTAATATTAAACTACCTACAAATTTCTAGGTTTTTTTCATGAATTTGTATTAATATATATATAAATGATAAGAAAATAAAAAAAACATCAAAATTATGTGAATTGTGTACCTTTTTTTTTGTCAAATTGGATATTGATTAGGTTTTTGAAATTCATATTATTTTTTTCTTGTTAACATGGTAAAAAAATAATTAGTTTATTCTAGATGAAAGTAAAGTAACATCTTTATTTTAAAAAAGCCTTTATTACATTCTAGTTTCACTATTGTATATAAAAAATAAAAATATTTCTACTTTTAATAATAACCATTTTATTGAATAGCTCAAGCTAGGTCAATCTCAACTTTGTTTTATAAAAAAAATAAAAAACCAAAAAGCAACATATGATTCATGAGATCCACATAGATCTTATACATTTTTTACTACATAAGAGCAATTTGACCTAGTCATCAATGTATGCCAAAATTTGGGATATAAAAAAGAATATTACATAAAAAAATTATTTCTTCAATTTAATCATAAATTTTTAATCAAGTTTTCTCTAAGTGTTGTTCTATTCTTCAATTACACTATCTAAGATAAAAATTAAAAGTCAAAAATTTTAATTTTATGACTTGGTATAAGGTATTCAAATTTATCTTTTACTTTTATTGTTGTTGAGTAGTCGTACTTGAATTACCTCTTGATTGTAGAAGATTTTATAGTTTGTTAAAAATTAACTATATTAGTTTCCAAGATAATGTATACTATTATTAAAAGGTGTCTTAGATAGAATAGACTAAACCAATTCATGTGGTAGATCAGATATTGTTTATTTCAACTCAAGTGTTTTCTTAATTTGAGTATAATAATATAATCCATTGTAATAGGATTCTTACTTAAAAAATAATTATAATATCATGCCGACTTGGTGTCTTAGAAATTCTATAATATTGATAATTTATAGTGGCTTTTAAATTATAATGTGCATAAGGACCATCTATTCTTTGAATATTTTTGCATTTTACAAGGTTTCTATTGCATTAGTCTTGTGGTAGTTACATTGTGATGTATTATTAATATAAATGATTTGAGTGAGTAGATAACAATATCAATGTTATTGTTTATTGTGATGATGATCTTAATTCTATCTTGTCCTTAATAACCAAATTAGTCAATTGCATGCACATGCATCCAAATTCACTATATTATAAGCTTACATTCTTTTAGATTCCTTACAAAGCACATTTGAGGCTCTTTTTCACAAAGTGATGCAAGAAATGTAAGCTTTAATAACTTCAAAGGAGTTACAATTGTCATAAATAGTCACAAAAGCATGTCAAAGATTAATTCTTAGTTGTTTTAAGTGGCAAAGCAATGACTAGCATGCATTATAATATATATATATATATATATATATATATATATATATATATATATACATTTTACTAATCCAATAAAGATAATTTTTAGAAGATTATAAAAGATAAGTTCTTCAATAATAATATCCATTTTATTATCAGCAAAGTCAAGGCCTTCCTTATCTTATTATTTTAGCTATTTCAAAGCATAAAGAATTTCAATCTATTATCATGGACATATATATTTACCTAGATCAAAAGAACGTGGTATAAATTAGTAGAAATTAGTAAATTTGATAGTTTCTCATAGAAATACTTATTAAAAGCTTTATAGACTTAGATTTGATTTTATACATATTTATAAATGATTGATAGATTAAAAACTTAGCCAACAAATTAACTACTGGTTATACATGTAGGAAACTTGTCATGTAATTTAGACATGTATCACAGAAGTTAGATACATATTGATGGTCTTATAGAATATTCTCACATAGCTCATAGTTAGATAATATGTATAGAGATAAGAGTGAGGCCTTTTTCACTCTTTTCAACTTCTTTCTTACTTCTAATTTAGTTTCAAGAGTCTCTAATTTTCTAGTCTTTGGCAATAGACATTCTAACTTTTTCTTAAATGTATATATATATATATATATATATATATATATATTTTTGTCATTTCTCTTTAATATACATTTTAATTATTTATTAATGTTCTTTGAATTCTTATCTTTGATAAATGGATAAGAATACATTTACAATATTAGAGCTTTGTCTTTTCTTAATTAAGGATAGATAATCTCTTCTTCTTGATAAAACATAAGCATATTAAAAATTATAGATTATCCACTTTTAAATTCATATTATTCTAAAGATTTTTGTTTTCTCAAGTCGTCTCTTCTATTTGTCTCAAGCAATATTAGACATCTTCTTTTTTATTGTATTATTATGATAGAAATTATTGAAATGAAGAATGCAACTACTCAAATGATGGAGTTAATGCTTACTATATATCAACTTAATTTATTATCACAAAGAGCAATAAAATTGACAAGAAGTAAAGATATATAGATGATTGAAGTTGCTTCATCATCTAGATCAACTCATATTACTTCTTCTTTGATAGAATATGATTCAAGAGTAAAATAAATAAATAAATAAATAATTTCTCTTAAGAAGTTTAATGGCATAAGATCAAAGTTTGAAAAATTTATCAATCAAATGCAATCAATGATTAGACTTCAATCTCAAAGTTTACTACTTTTAGATTTTGTTTTATCATAATTTTGATTTTTTTTTGAATAATATGTATGTAAAAAATGTCAAAGAAGATAATATGTTAGAAAACTTATTTATTTTGCTAAAATTGGGACCATGTCACTAAAATCTTATAAAACACATAGTATAGATCTTATACTATATTTAGAACCATATCTTTGTTTTGAAATGGATATTTTTTTAGGATCTATAAATCACAAAACTTTTTCCTTATTAGATTCAAGAGCCTGATTTTTTTTGACATGAAGAATTGATTAAAAGAGATATAATATCTTTAGTAAAGAAAATTAAACATGCACATATAGAAGCCATAAATGGTTTTCCATTATCTTTTGAATATGTCACCTATAAAATCCTTCTTGTAGATGAAGCAACAAATGGTCACAATAGTATAGTAATATTTAAAATTATTAGATATTCTATAAATCTAATCATTTTAGGTTTTTCATGGCTAAAAAAATATAATCTTTGGATAGATTTGATTTCTTATAGTTTTGATTTGTATTGAAGCATAATTAAGATTTTTTTAATAAAATAAAAATCCATAAGTTTTGCACAATCAAACCTTCATTTATAAGTGTAAGAAATTTCATATATAATGCAAAAAAAAATTACCTTTTTTATTTATTCCAAATCCATTTCTAATAGTAAAAAGACATCAAGTTGCATTCCAAACTAATGCCAAGTTTATCAAGACGTTTTTGAGAAAAAAAAATGTAGATATTGTTTTGAAGCATAGTCCTTATGATGATTCAATTAACCTTCAAGAAAGAATTCAATTGCCATTTGGACCAATCTACAATTTATTATAAAATAAAATTTCTAAACTTAAGAAATACATTGATAAAAACTTGACCAAAAACTTCATACATCATTCAAAATCTCCAATATAAGTTCTTATATTATTTTTCAAAAAAAAAAAAAAAATAAATAAGATTTAGTGGAGATGTGTTTAGATTATTAAAGGTGCTATAAGATTATAATAAAAATATATATTATCTATTTTTTATTTTTATTTTTTTTAAATAATTAGATCAAATAAAAATCTATACAAAAATAGATCTATAAGGTGTATATAAATTAATATATATTAAATAAGAGAATAAATAAAAGACTATTATAATTGAATTTTCATTAATAATTTTTTTAAAGTTGCAGTTCTACTTATGTATTTGATTTGTAAAGAAAAATTTAAGTAGAATAAAGAAACTGTAGTTTTATTTGAAGCTTTAAAGATAGTTTTTTTTTATTTTTGCATCAATCTTCTATTAAGTTGACTTCTTGAAGGTATTTTTTTATAAAAAGAGATATATTAGACTTTATTTTAGATGAAATATTGTTATAAATAGGAGTAAATAATAAACTTCACCTAGTAGCTTTTTATTCAAAAAATGTTTTAGCAATGAAGATCAAATATAAGATCTAAAATAAAGAAATTTTTATAATTAAGGATTTATTTTAAGAATTTTCTCTTA